CGTGATAGGGTTGGTGTAGCTCATGTGACAGACAAAATTAGAGAAAGCCGTCTTAGATGGTTTGGTCACATTAAACGTCGACCATCTGATGATCCGATTAGGAGAGTAGATGTTTTAAATCGACTTGTTAAGAAAGGCAGAGGTAGACCTAGGAAGACTTGGGCTTATTGTATTAAAAATGATCTTAATTTACTAGAACTAAATGAAAATATGACACTAAATAGGACGCAATGGAGAAAAAGGATTCATGTAGCCGACCCCACGTAGTGGGATTAAGGCTTTGTTGTTGTTGTTGTTGTTGTTGTTGTTGTTGTCGATATATAAACGAGTTGAAAACGAAAAAAGATTTGTTTGTCCATATTCAGCTCGTTTTGGTTCAAAATAATTATATATATATATAGTTGATGAGTAATGAGTAGTATTTTTAAAAAAATTTAATTGATGACAAAACTAATGACAAAACTAGAGAGAATTATAATCAATTAAAATTGGAATAATAAATAAATTATATTATATTTAAATGATGTTTTAACATAAATAATAAGATTTAAATCTCGCCCCAACTCTTAAAATTTTATATCTGTGCGACTAGGGTTTTCAAAACGACTCTTTATTCGTGAATAACTAGTGTTATTGTTGTCACCGCCACCGCCGGAGAATAACGAGCATCTCCCATTAAGATGTCGCCTGCATCTCGGCTCGCATGCGCAATATCTTCCGTTGTACCCCAAAGCATTTGATGGGCATGACATCCGATGCCTAAAACTTATTGTGACCTATGCGGAGGTTCCGACAGCAGACAGCAGTAGAAAGGTCTATAGTATTTAGGAAAAGAATTTGTTGTCGCTACTGTTGCTAGACAGAAGAGTTCCTACGAAATAGTCTGCAGAGAGAATTCGGTGGAAAGGGATTTGCCATTGAGTTTTCTAAAGTTGGATAAGAGATCCAGTGAAGAACTTGCATGCAAGAAGAATCCTACAGGGAGTTTTCTCTGCAACTTATGCTTTTTATAGAGCCCCTTCACTAAAGGAGCAATTCTCCTGAGATGGCACCTTGGAAACCGAGGAAAAAAATGGTGTTTTGCTTGGAACTGCAGTCCGCCATGAAACCAGTCCATCCATGGCAAACAATTGATGTCAAGTGTCTCCATCGTTTGCTTCTCAAACTAGTTGCCCTTTGGATTTCTGATGTAGACAGCAAAAAAGAAATGGTTTAGACAGAACTGAACATGTTGAATCCCACAAATAACGAAGCTAGCGATCACAAAATCAATATTTCTCCCAATTTAAGGAGAAAAGAAACCAGATAAGAATACCTTGTCCAAAACACGATTATGCCAACAATTTCCTGGAAGTAGTAAGGCACCTTCTTCATGGAAAGAACAAGAAGCATAAACAGGGCAAAGAGATTAAGCCTTACAAAGCACATTAGTGAATAAAAAGTTATGTGCTGGTAACAGATCAGGAACCATGAAATTGAATCGAAGGTCAAGATTCTCTCATAGAAGGAGGAGGAAGGTAGGGTTTGATCTCAAAGAGTTTGAGGCCTGCAGGAGGGATCACCAACGTTGGAACAACCAAGAGAGGAGAGATCAGTGGTGTCAGAGTTTGCAGGAAGGGTATCGACTGCTGAAGGGAAGAAGGAAGTTTCTGGCATCTAGGGTCTGCATGGAGATGGTTTCAGCGGCTAGTTCCTATAGGAAGGAGCTTCAGTGGCCATGGCCTGCTGGAAGAGGACGTTTCCGGCAAAAAAAAATTGAAAAAAGGAGGCGGAGAAAAAGTCTGCAACACGGCAAAGATTGTCAACTGGAGGGAATAGGAAGTTTCTAGCGGTAGGAGACCCTAGGGTTTGTTACAAGGCTCTAATAACATGATGTTTTTCAGAATTCAACAAAATGATTTATTGATATGAAAAGAGGGTATAAATACACTTACTTGAATCCTAGAAGAGGAAAAACAAGAAAAATGAAATAACATGAAAGAAAAGAGATAACACCTATATCTCCAATTGATCAATTCATAATAATTACTTAGAAATAAGTAAACAATATAGACTAGAAAAGTCAATAATAGGAAAATAAATAAATCCAATCCAAAAAACTAAATCTAAAATAAGAAAGAAAGTAAATTTAATCAAAAGAAATAAATCTAATCCACATAACTTCTAACATAAATAAATCATTTCCCAATATAACTTCTAACAGATAATTATAGCAAAAATGCAAAGCATGAAAGTAGGTTGCAAGTAGAGAGAGTGGAGGGAAAAAAGAAAGACAGAAGAAGATGCAAAGGAGAAAGCATGACTTCTATGAAAATCAATAGAAGTTTAATGAGAATATGGACTATTTCCATACATTATCATGATGTTGCTCATGAAAGAAACCCATATCAACTTACGTTATAAAAAAGAACCACCTAAACAACAAAATTAGAAAATTGGAGGAATCAATTTCACTCGAAACAAACTTGTGAGAACTAATTCCAATTTACCCTTCAAAAAAATTATAACATGGAAAATATAAAAGGAATAAGGAATATAATTTTCAAAAAGATGATTTGCCAAGTGAAAATTTTGTGGTAGAGCTTTCACATCGACTTAAGCTTTTAGTTTGATGGGTGTTCATGTAAATCTTTAGGCTCAACTATGGGCTCCAGTATTCTACACTGCTAATAGTCCAGATGGTTGAAAGACCTCTGATGTAAGCCTCTTTGTACTTGTTAGCCAAAGGAGACCATATCGACGATTGAAATCAAAACTGGCAAGGCTCATATCGTGTATTGTTAAAAGAAACCATCATTGTGAATGAATCCCAACAATGCAACATGAAATAGAAAGATATGTAAGCAATATACGAAAAGAGAGGAGTCACCAAGCCAAAAAATAGCGGCATCTCCTGCAACTTTCCCTCAAAACCTCTCAATCCCTCATGTCCATGTCAGATTGATCAATTAAAGGGTTTCATGATTCCACAAATCAGCCCTCTATCTTTTTAATCACAGCCCAAACTGTTTGAAAAAACAAAATCAAAGATGAAAATAGTAAATATATATTAAAAAAATGTAATTGAACTTGAGAGAAGGAAAAAAAAAATCCAAAAGCACTAAATTCGAAATATAGCTTTTTTACTTGTTAGACAAAGGAGACCATAAAAAGAACTGTTCATTGTAATCTCAACGATTGAAATCAAAACTGATAGGGCTCATATCAAGTGTATTGTTAAAAGAAACCATCATTGTGGATGAATTCCAACAATCCACCATGAAATAGAAAGATAAGTAAGCAATATCCGAAAAGAGAGGAGTCACCAAGCCAACAATAGCGGCATCTCCTGCAACTTTCCCTCAAATACCTCTCAATCCCTAATGTTTCATGTTAGATTGATCAATTAAAGGGTTTCATGATTCCACAAATCAGCCCTCTATCTTTTTAATCACAGCCCAAATTGTTTGAAAAAACAAAATCAAAGATGACAATAATAAATATATATTAAAAAAAATAGAATTGAACTTGAGAGAAGGAAAAAAAATCCGAAAGCACTAAACTCGAAATATAGTTGTACTTTGCAGCTGAAAAGTTGCAGAGAAATGATTTTTAGGCTCAACTATGGGCTCCAGTATTCTACACTGCTAATAGTCCAGTTGTTGAAAGACCTCCGAAGTACGCCCTTTTTTACTTGTTAGACAAAGGAGACCATATAAAGAACAGTTCACTCTACTCTCAACGACTGAAATCAAAGCTGGCAGGGCTCATATCAAGTGTATTGTTAAAAGAAATCATCCTTGTGGATGAATCCCAAAGATCCACCATGAAATAGAAAGATAAGCAATATCCGAAAAGAGAGGAGTCACCAAGCCAAAAATAGCGGCATCTCCTGCAACTTTCCCTCAAAAAACTCAATCCTTTATGTTTCATGTTAGATTGATCACTTGAAGGGTTTCATGATTCCACAAATCAGCCCTCTCTCTTTTCAATCATAGCCCAAACTGTTTGAAAAAACAAAATCAAAGATGACAATAGCAAATATATATTAAAAAAAATATAATTGAACTTGAGCGAAGGAAAAAAAAAATCCGAAAGCACTATATTCCAAATATAGTTGTACTTTGCAGCTGAAAAGTTGCAGAGAAATGATTAATAAAAAAAACGGACGATTCATATGGGGGCTAGTTATAGACAAACAAGGAAATATTGAATGGAGAATAAAGTTGTTAATCATTTTAAGAAGACAAGCAACTACAAAAAATAAAAGAATTTGCACATCTACTATCCTTTATCAAAGTCATAGATTAACTGCATTAAGAAATATAAATAGGAAAGAGAAGTACCCTTAATAATATTATTGGACAAAAAGTTAGCAGTAACAGCCGAGTCCACTAGTTTTCATCATTCACGGGCAAAAAGTTCCTTATGGACTCAATACAGAGGAAGTCGTATAATTATTACCTGTCTGACAAACTTCTTATCGACCATCTTGGGATGTTCCCTTTCATATGTTTCAAATTTCTGTACCACAGGCTCATCTTCAAGAAAGGCTTTAGCTTTTCTAGCAAGCGCACCCCAAAAACCATTTTTGGATTCAGTCAAACTATTCATTGATGTGTACTCGTAAGAAGTAGAATCCTGCAGTAAAAAGTCAAGGATAGCTTGCAATTCAGCAAAAGAAGATGAGACTATTAGCAGTAAAATAGTGTACAAAAATAAAAATAATATCTGCAAAAGGAGAAATGAATCCTGTTGGAATTTCACATAAAAAGACATCAACAAAATAGGCTAAGTTAACAGCAATAAAAAGGATAAAAAGGGCATTATCCATAATCACACGATAGCTTCAACAAAGTAGTTTACAATGTACACTGGATTAAAGAAGATATTGGACAACCTTGTTTAAATTAGTCGACCAGGTCTTGGCAAGAGTTTAACAATGTAATTAATACCGTTATAAATTAAAGTTGAAAAGCTCAAGAATTGTTATTCGCCACCAAAAGGTAATTACTTTAGCAGGAAATATATATCAGCATAAAAGCAATTTTCCAGAACACTTTCAAATCCCTTCGTAAAAAATTTTGCAATTTGATGGCTCCAGCATACCATTGTCACAAGAAGCACTATAAACACAATTTCAGAATGAAATGTTCCAAACTAAAAAATTTAAAAGAACATAACGCTCCAACACTATGCCACATGAATAACTCTACTGAGGTAGGAAAATTTTCTCTAATTATCTGAAAATTTTTCAGCGTGACCAGAGCTTCCCAGAAAACCTAAAAAATTTATAGAAAAGCAGCATCCTTCCTCCTCTATACTTTCCATCCAATGATTCATACAAAAATGTTACATTCACAAATCACAATATTTCATACTATCTAGCCTCTAAACAATTAATCCCCTAAACTTAACCAAAACAAATGGCCTTTCCAGTGCTGGTCGTGCAATCACCGTATAACCGTGTCCACACAGACTATCTACACAAATTACGTCAATAAAACAAAAATTAATCAATCACCTTCAAATGTACCGAATTTGCTGAGTGTGTCAAGACAACAGCATGATATTCACTCTGGTTCAAAAAAGATGCCTTCAGCATAAGACTAAAGTGCAACACTTACTTTCATGAGTGCACTTCAGACAGGAACTTACAATATATGTAGACCCCAATAGGGAGCAACATACACGTGCCCAAAGATGTCACGGGAACTTACAACATATGCAAGTATTACTTGGGGATCATAAAACGTACATAGACCTAAAACTATATTAAGCAGAGATCACATCTCGAAGAAACACCAATTTTGGCTGTGAAGAACTAGGGTTTATAGGATGGCCTGCATCAAATCTAGTGACTTATTGCTGCATTTTAATGTCAATGTGAATTTCACTGACGGATGAGGCACGTAGCTTTGATGATAAAAAGGCTCAAGGATTTTGAGGAGGATTGCTAAACAGGCCAGTTGTTAATGCACATAACTAGGAATCGTTTGAGCAGACGATCAATATTCGTTTCGTTCACCCAAACGGGTCGCACACCGTTCACTCAAATGAAGCTGAAGAGCATTCTCAAGCGTCTGCCGAAAATGGTTCGCAAAAATGGTATTATTTCGTTGTTTTAAATTGCAGATGCCCTGCTCCGTTCCGCAAACATCGCATTTAAAAGAGCAAAGTTCCTTCAAACGGAGGCTTATTGATAATCTGATGATATGCAACTAATCTAAATCAGTTGCTGATCAACAACTGATCCGGATAAACTGTTGATCAGTGGCTGATACGAATAAACTGGCTGACTATTTGATTTGTGCTGTTGGAAAACAGTTGTTTTGAAACTGTTTCTGGATTAATAACCATATGCCCATGTGCAGTAAGACTGTTTGCAACAGAACTGTCATAGTAATATTAACAATGAGTACAAAGATTGATTAAAAAAATAAAAAAAAAACTATCAAATAACTTTGGCTTCACATATCAAATTAACAGTTTCCAAATTTGGAAGTTCCTAACCCTGAAAATATTAAGGCTTGGTATTATGGTGCTAAGAAATGTTGTGCATACTGTTATTAAAGTTAAAAAGATGTAGACAATTGTTCATGAAAGAGGTAATATGTTCTTTTTATGCTTTTGGAAATGATGGTGGATATGATCCAAAAGTAAAGCTAAATCATTTCAGTATGGTTGACTAGTAAGTCACAGTATGGGAAATGATCATACTACTGAAATAGTTTTGTACCATGATCAAGCACAGGCAAATTAATAGTTTTGTAATTTAATGTATTCTACATCCTTCTCCCCATTCTGGTAATGTTTCCTCCTTGGCTACCCCTTTCACCTCTTCTGCTTCCTTCACATTGTAAGAGAAGGGAGGGAAGAGCACTTTGATGTAATGTAATTCCAGGTCATTTCACATGGCATATGATTTGTAAATATCCAATATAGCAATTGAAATTGATCTAAACTCAATGCTAATTCATATTGTATTTCTACTATAATTTAAAACTCCTTTAATCACTATATAACTTGTTTTACCTATAGCCACTGCTTAATCATATATATGCTTAAAAACTTCTGCCCCTTTGGCATGCAACTCTTTTGAAGTCACACCAATACTGCAACATATTATCTTTCTTTGGCATGCAACTTCACCAACTGCATTCTTAAGTATAAAGTAGAGATTATAAACATAATCTTAGGTAACGAATGAAGCATAAAACAAATGACTGTTCTCATTGCAAGTTAGTTAACCGATCTTGCCATAAGCATCCATCAGAGAGAACAAGCATGATGGTCTGGCTTACCCAAGTCAACAAACACATAAAACATACATTATGCAAAACTCATTCAATATGCCAAAAAATCGGAAATCAGGAATAAGCTGCTCCATACAGCCATAGGAATGCGTAACAGAGCACGAAGAACTGCATAAACACAAGTACAAACCCAACAAATTACAAATCGTGAGCCAAAAGAACAATTACGAAAGCCATTCCATTGGCTGTTAAACGGATGATAAACTTACAGATTTGAGTTACAAGAGATCTGCGGGAGGAGTAAAGAAGAGGTAAGAGAAGCGCGATAGGGCAAACTAGAGGAGATGGATCGAGGAAAAGCGAGATAGAGCAAGGTAGAGGAGAAGCGCGAAAGGGGAGACTAAGACGAAAAAGAAGGGCAGAGGGGTAATGTCGTGCGAACGAACACGTGCCGCAAGGTAGATCCCGCGGCCGCATTTATTCAATAACCCAAAACCACATATCCGAAGAAGCAGCCTCGACGCAATTACCAAATGAGACGGCGACATTCTCAAAATGCTACCCGCAGCTACAAACTGCCCCAAACGGGCACTTAGCCCAAATGGTTCAGGCTCCCATTCTAACAAAGCCCAACCCCGAAAATGAAGGACATGTAAGACCCAACTTTATAGGAAAGAGGACAAATGATCAAACTTTCTTACACTTATCAGCATGCAGTTAACCTTGCAAGCATTAAGCCTCACAAGCATGGCCAACGGCTAGCAGCGTGTTTAATTCAATTTCAATCATGCCATTAGATGCTCTACAATGCATATGCTGTTTGAAATGTATGTAAGATTTTAAGAACTTAAAACTATTAGTTATAGAAGGAAATTAAATATTATCTATAGTCTGTAATTTTTAGTGTTATACTTTTAATTCAAATGTGGAACTATTCCATGTCAATTGTTAATTGTAGAATCCACCCTTTCTTATGCCTAAGGAGTGATAATTTGAATATTCATTCTAATCTAAGTATAAATTTCAACTTATTTGGTTTTCTATAGTTGGGTATAACCATCATGTTTAAAAAAAAGTAAAACTTCTCTACATTTTGTATACCACCACCTTGCATTTTTATTATAAAGTTTTACTTCAAAACACCGCGCCCTACAAGACTACGACTGGGCTATCAGTAAACAAGTTAGTCTCAATTACAGTCAGATTGCAGCTAAAAATAGTTGGCAAAACAGATAAACAATCTTGAGCAAGATTAGAAAACCCAAGCCATGTATAGGCTCGGCTAGTGGTGGATAAGAAACTAAATTAACCACATAAACAACAATGTAGTTGGCGTTCATTTACAGGGGTCAATGTTGGCTATTTACCATTGAACTGGGTGAAATCCCATGAAATCTCACAAACTTTGGGAAATTCTTTGCCCTTCTAAATTACTATTATAATTTGTAGAAAACTTCCATCCAAATTTTTCTTAGGAATGTAGCTAATTTTAGAATTTAGTCACAATCTAGCATTGGCAGGATTGATCTATTGTTGTCATTAGAAATTTCTACAGAGTAAACCATTTCACGCAAAATAGTCATCAATGCAACAACAGTAGAACAGCTCCCAAACCCCGACAAAATTCCCACTTGCTTAAAAAAGAAGCACAAAAAAATCCAAATTTCAGATCAAAATCCAGCAAATAAAACGCATGACCATAACAAAGATCAGTCTCATTCTTCTTCCTCAGAACTAGTGCGATATTACCCATGACCAACGAATGTCACCATACGAACAACCATCAGAATCAAACGGAACTAAGAGAAACACCCCACCGTCTCATCATACCTCTACTTCCAACAGATCTCTCCTATAAAAAAGCAAATACGCAACATTCTCAAAACACCATAAGAAAACGCTCACCTGCCCACTGCTGCCCACCTTCTGTCGATTAGACTCCCGATTCGCAGACGCAATCGCAGACTGACCGTATACGGATGACAGCGAGGAGTCTCCATGTGCCGACGAATCCCTGATCGCCCTCGCGGCGATGGAAGAAGGAGGTGCAGTCCCCACTTCCGACTGCGCCTCCACCACACCAGATCTACAATCCTCTGAAATACTCGCCCTAGCTGTTCCCCCTTTCCTCCTGTACGCCATGGATCTCTCCGATGACCCCCACCCGCCCAAACTCGACAACCCCTTCGCGGCGGAACCCTAGCTATACAACAATACAGTGAACGGTCAACCCCTCCTGCCACCACATCGACTCCTTCTGTCTTGACTCCCGGCTACGCCTCCACCATACCAGACCTAATTGAAGGAAGCCGCTCTCCAGCTTGAAGACGAAAACAAAAGAAGGGTGAACCGATTCCCGTCCGGTTCGGCGCTAAAAACCGTCGGGATCGTGGACCGTAATCCTAAACCGACGGTTCAGATTTTAGGACTACATATCAGGATTTCCATACATACCCCTCAATTCTTTTGTATTTACATATCTAACACATAAACTTCAATTTTTACATAAACACTACGTTACTTATGCATGAAAGGTTTATTCCATTAAAAAGTTAAAGTAGTTGTAATTATTGATGTGTTGTGAAATATATTCGTCTCAAAATAATAAGAAATCTATCGAATGAGGATTAGTCTGCCAACCGGCCAACACAACCAACTTAGATCAAATCAAGACCGATCAATCATCAAAATTCAGAGTTTTGAGAGGTTGATGCGTAAAATTCCAAAATAAAAAAAAATTAAATAGAAAAGAAAAAGAAATATCATAAATGGTTATAATTAAGTGAAAATGTAATAAAAATATTGAAGATTGTTTAAAATAAGTGATTGGAATACTATAAATGTAAAATTTGGATATATTTGCAATATAATTTTTTTTTTGGAATATCTATTATTTTATGTTTGAGATAAATGATTAATTTAATATATGGAATAAAAAGATATATATATATATATATATATATA